TAAAGCAATTATTGACAGGCATGTGCTTATTGCCTATTTGTTTTTATACTTCCTTTGCTCCTGCCCTTTCTTGGTGTGTTGATCACTTTTTTTAGTTGTATGCTTACACTTCTTTCTCTTTCTCTTTTGTGTGCTTACTGAAGGCTTTTGCTTTATGGTTACTATTAGGATTACATATAACAAGTTATATCTATAGCAGTGTATTTTAAGTTGGTAACAACTTAAATTCTCTCTCTCCTTTCCCTTGGGGCATTTAAAATTCTTTGTTTTTTTTTATTTTTGACAATTTGATTATGCATCCTGGTATAATTCTACTTGAATTCAGTCTATTTGGTGTTCTCTGAGCCTCTTGGATCTATATGTCTACTTCTGTCCCCAGATTTGGGAAGTTTTCAGTCATTATTGCTTTAAATACACTTCCTGTTCCTTTCACTCTTCTCCTTCTAGAGTCCCCATAATATGAGTGCTGTTTCTTTTCATCGTGCCGCCTAAGTCCAATAGGCTTTCTTCACTCTCTTTCATTCTTTTTGGTTCTCTGATTGGTCATTTTCAAATGTCTCATCTACCAGGTAGCTCATTCTTTCTTCTGCAGGGTTACATCTGCTTTTCAAGCTCTCTATTGAATTCTTCAGTTGAGTTATTGTATTTTCAGCTCTAGGTTTTCTTGTGTTTTTTTCAATAGTTTATATTTTCTTGAACTTCTCGTTTTATCGATGTAGTGTTTTCCTAATTTAATTTAGTTGTATGTGTATTTTTACAGTTCACTAATTTTTTTAAGAGAATTATTCTGAAATCTTTGACATTGCATAGGTCTTCATTTCTAGGGTCATCTATTAAAGCTTTATTTGTTTCCTTTTGTGATGTCAAATTTACCTGATTTTTCATGGTGTTTTATTCCTTACATTAATGTCTGTGTTTGAGTAAGTGATCTTCTCTTCTAGACTCTGCTGGTCCCCTTTGGCAGAGATAGTTTTTCATGATTCAGCTTAGTTTGGGTTTCTAGACATGTCTGTTGGTAATGCCAGGCAGGTGGGGCTGGCTACTAGGCCTTATGTTGGTGTGAGGCAACTGACCTCTGAGGTTGGTTCTGGGGAGTACGTGCCACTTTCTGAGAACTGCTGGGTCGGGCAGCTGGCTCTGGTTCTGTGACCTCACTTGAGGCTGTAGAATGGGCTTCACAGTTATCTGGATTCTCTTGCCAGGCTTATTAGATAGTCAGCACTGATTGCTGTACTCAGCAGTAGGTGGGGCTATGAGTTAGCTTCCCTGTTCTGGCAGGACAGCAGGATGGGATCCAGGGACTGTACCACATATTTTTTAGGGACCTGAATCAGACAAGAGCTTGCACTGAATATTTTAGTCAGGTAAAAAGACCACCAGTTTTGCTCTGAATACAGGAAGAGTCATGGGCTGTAGCCTCTATTTGAGTTCTACTGTAAGCAGGGCTGTCTGATGAGCTATGCAGCTTTTTGTGTGCTCTGCTAAGATTCCCCAGTCAGGCAGGCTGAAGGCTGTGTTCAGTAACAGGACCTTTGAATTAGTTTCCCTGCCCAGGTGTGGTGGGAGAAGCAGCTCCAAGGCTGCTCAGGTTCTTTCTTTGTAGTCTTGATTCAAGCTGACCTGTGCCCCAAATTTCTTGGCTGTACAGGGCCACCTGCTTTGCTCTGAGGGCAATCAGCTCTGCCTACCCGCCTCTTGGCTGGAGCATTGCTTGGTTGCAAAGCTTCCAGGTGTTCATGCCAGCCCTTCCTGTCAGATGGGGCTAGGGACCACACTCTAGAGTGGGTGGAGCTGTGACTCAGCTCTTCTGCCTGGGTGTGGCAGACTGAGCTCTAGGGCCAGCAAAGTTCCTCATTTGAGGACCCAAATCAGGCACACCTGTACCCTGCCAACTACTTTGGTCAGACTGCACCACTGCCTTAGATTTGCAGAGAGCAAAGCTTCTGGTTGGGACTACTATTTGGGCTCTGCAGGTAGAAGCTTGGTCTGCCAAGACCCAAGTGCTGGTTGTTGGAAGGCCCTCTTCTCTCTGTCACAATCGGATGCCCAGCACGAGAGCCCTGCAGATTGCCCTGTGGGGCAAGACCAGAGTAGGGGATCCCAAGAATGATCCAAAATGCTAGGGGTGGAGGCTAGATGTCACGTCTGAGCTCTCCTTTCCCACCGGAGGCTCAGGCGAGACTTCTTGGTGTGGTGCTGCACGAGCCTGGGGAAGGGGCAATGCAGTCAGCGTGTGGCTGTTCCTCTTACCCTTTTAGAGCAGCCTCTCTGGGTGTCTGTGGTGCAGGGTTGCTTCCACCTCACTCCCAGTCAGTGGTTTTCTTTTCTTTTTTTTCCTCTTCGCTATGCAGGAGCTTTTCTGTTTGATGTAGTCACTCTTGTTTATTTTCGTGTGTGTGCTTTAGGTGTCATATCCAAAAAATCATTATGAAAAGCCATACCAAATAGCTATTTCCTGTTTTCCTCTAGGAGTCTCATGGTTTCAGGTTTTACTTTTAAGTCTTCATAGGAATCTTACTTTTAGACAGACTTTTTAAAGGGCAAGTTCAATGAAAAGTTTTTGTTAATGAGTTGACACAGGATCAGGTCTTACGTGCCTCCCGCCATGTTCCAGGGAATTCAGTAGGCCAAGCTCTCTGACTCAGTGCCCTGTGCTTTAGACAGAAGCCCTAAGTGTCATCTCCAGGCATATTCTGCTCCACATTATCAAGAACCCGGCTGCCCATTTGGATTCACCTAAGGTGTAGCTTTAAGACGTCATCAAGACAAACAGACCCTAATTCTGCTAATGCTTTCTTGGCTATTGTCACCGACAACACAAAGCGCCAGGACTCAGTCAACGGTAGTTGTCTGCAGGCGCCAGTCCCGTTGTGGGTTATAACTGAGGTCAAATGGTGAGTGGAGAACTGGGCTTGAGCACTCTCATTCAGTTCACCTGTCACAACACATGCCCCAGACTAGAGGCAGTCCTGGAGACATCCACACTCGTAGCCTAATTTCACAGACAGGGGGTTGGAGGCCTAGATGCCTAAACTGAGTTCGTCACTTTTCCACAGCTGGTTAAAGACAGAGCTAGGGCCAGCCTGAGCCTCCTAAGCTGTAAATCAGTCTATTTCTTTCCTGTATACTTGGAGCATAAATTATATAAACTAGAAGGGCTATTTTTCAACAATCAGGTGAGCTTAAGTAGTCAGTCTCAAACTTCAGTGTGGATTAAAATCACCTGGAGAGCTTGTTGAAACAGATCTGCTGGGTCCTGATTTGAGAGTTTGTAGGCCAGGGGTGGGGCCCTGGAGTCTGCACTTTAACAGGGTTCCAAGCGGTGATGCCAATGCTAACACCGCCACTGCGGACCACGCTCCGGGAACCACTGGAATAAAGCAGGCCCAGGCCACTTCCTGCCATTCTTCATTGCCCACCTGCTGGGAGCCACGCGGTCAGATCCTCAGGAGAAAGGGTGACCAATGAACTTTTCCTGAACTTCTTAGCAGGGGTGTCCAACCCACAGCCCACAGGCCACATGCAGCCCAGGAAGGCTATGAATGCGGCCCAACACAAAATCGTAAATTTACTTGAAACATTTTGAGATTTTTCTTGTGATTACATTACAACGTATTTAATGTGTGGCCCAGGACAACTCTTCTTTCCACGTGGCCAAGAGGTGCCAAAAGGCTGGACACCCCTGTACCGGGTGCGTTTCCCACTGCAAGTTTGTTTCAGCACAGGGTGCGGAGCTCTGGCCTGAGTCAGCCGGCCCAGGCACTCTGCTCTGTGCGCAAACTGCTGTATGATCGTAAGTCATTTAACATCTAAGTTTCAGTTTTCTCATCTGTGGAAGGTAGTGGGGGGTGGGTATTATCTTCTAACTCAATTGTGGATGGATTATATCACATACTGCATATGAAGTGTTTAATGGTGAAGAATCACTTGGTGTATTGATCAGAGACCAGTCAAGGAAAAAAAAAAGAAATGACTTTAGTTCTTATAGAGTTGAATCAAGATAAATAGTTACTCAGATGATGGAAGGGCTCAGAAACCAATGGTGGGTAATGAGGAAAACCTGACGTTCAGCAAGGGCAGAAAGCAGCCACCCGCCCACCACCCCTGAGGCTACAGTGAAAATGGGAGGAGGCAACAGTGCCAGAGCTTAGAAGGCTTCCCCTGAGAGCCCAGAGGGAGGGTGGGTCTGAGGGGCTGGAGCCCCCGGGACTGACTGCCTAGAAGCCAGAACGCATACAGCCTGGGAATACAGTTCTCTGCAGCACACGATAGAGCAGGAGAAAAGCGAGAAGTGAATCTCAGGATTATGCAGAGACGCCACTGCTGCCATGACCGTAGGTACTTAATGTGCCCCTCTCATCTCCATGACTAGACCATGTCTTCATGTCCAGGGATCTCACTGGGCCTACATGCAAAGTAAGTACCATATACATGCCAAGTGGCATTGCCATAAATTCACTCTGCCAGGAAAACGAGATGGGAATGTTATTTCAGGTTAACTAGGTGCTGCAGTGTGAACCCTGAATCTGGAGGGTGCTTAGCTCCCAGTCTGCAACCCCACGTCACACTCAGTGTGCTGCACAAAGCCTTGCGCTGTCCCTGCCCTGAGCGTTCAAACTAGGAAAACTGCAGGATGGAGACAAACCAATTCCTTAACCAACCATAGCTTGTAGAGAATGACCGTTTGGAGGTGCGTGGTGGGGGAGAGGGACTGAGGGACAGTGGGCAGGCTTATGTTTTCTTACAGCAAGGACATGCCTTGAAGTGACATCACCTTGAGGTGTTTCCTCATTTAGCACGTGCTGCAATTATGTAAATAACACTAACCCATCATTCTTGTGGCCGCTCTTAACAACGCCCTTCTCGCATTACAAAAGTGAGGTAACAGCACGAAAGGGGGTCGGTGGGAGACTATAGAAACAGCAACTTTCCATAGCCAAAAGAGCCAGCGTGGTTTCAGAAATATTTCTTGGGCGATAATTGAAATTTCAAACCATCACTTAAGTTTCAAAACAACCTTTATTCTGTTTGAAGACCTAATACAATGCATTAAAGCAACTTAAAACAACAAGACGTAGCTCCATTAAATCTATAGCTTGAACCAATTGTCAAGGAGGCACACTCCCCCACCCCCACCCCCGCTGCCTTGTGAAGGCAAAATTACCACTGACCATCACATCCTCCCTCTCGTCAAAAGACCAACTTTATTTTAACAATGTCATATAAACAGATTTGTAAAAACATCGAACAGATTGTAGCTTTAAAAAATACACACATATAAATGAGTTTTCCTTTTTTTTTAATAGCAGCATCCTGGGTAGCTAATGCTATCTCATGGTGGCAAGTTTAATGTTAAGTTTGGATAGTGTTTCCAATGAACCCAATTCTGTTCCCTCCCCACTCATACTAGTATTTTACATAACTAGGTTTTTAAAAAATAAGAATTTGGCATTTTGGAACTTTGTCCTGTGTGAGGCATTGTGCTTTAAACTGCCCCTTTCCTAAGTGACCCTGAACTCGGACTGCAGGGTCTGCTTCCCAGCTGACCTGGATACCATGCATAGCAAAAGCACAGTTGTTAAAACCAGCAGAATTTTCTCCCAATAAGGAACATCAGTAGGACTTCCCAAACACGTTACTACTTCATCACCAGCTATTTGACAAAGCAATTGGTTCCCTACAGTGACAGCTCACAGAAACACATTTTGACTTGACACATTGAAAACAAGGGTTTCCAAAGTAAGCGAGTCATCTGGACTAGCTTCTCAAAAGGAATAACTTTTAAAAACAGGGAAAATAAAAGCCAAAGAATCATGAACTTCTCACTTCACTTGCAAACAATTTTCACCTTTATAAGACAAAACAAAGCAAATTCACAGGAAAGAAACAACCCATACACATATACAAGAACTTTACTAGACATTTGCTTGTTATGCACTTGAACTCAACGACTGTGGATCTGTTTTGGCTGAAAGGTGTACTGGAAACACAGTCCATGCACATATACATATATACATATATTGAGGGCTGTGAAGTTGTCAGATGTTGCAAATACATGCTTTTTGCCTTTTTACGTGGTTACAATTTTTCTCTCCTGTCTAATGTCGGGTCCTAATGCTCCCACCTCCACAGCCCCGTCACGGCCCCTCTGCAGCTCGGCCTCTGGCTCTCACCTGTGGGAGGTGGTCTCTCTTGGGTGGGGAAAATCGATGCCCGGGCAGGAGCATGTGGTCGTGTGCCTGTGCTGTATCTGTTCGTACTGGTGAGCCGCGAGACAGCGTTTCCTGGGGACGACTGTCCAAAGGGACCCAGGGAGCTCTGCTGGTCAAACGTCTAGAAGGACACAGGTGGTGGGCACACTACATGCGCTCAAGGCACCTGGCCAAGGTGTGACATCACGGGTGTGGTGTGATGCACTGTTACAGGGAGTCAGGAGTCTGTCTTTGCAGTTCAGAGCGGATCTACCATTTGTGCTTGTGAGATGCAAAAATAAGGCAGATGCTTGATACCATGTCATCTGGTGAAATGTCGAAGGAAAAACACGAAACTTTTTATGAAATGTAATGATTAATGAAATATTCCACCTTAGATCTAATATTTTAGAAATTAAATGAAAAATATTTATACTTACTAGCATACATGGATGTGCTACCACAAAAACAAAACAACCACCGTAGTTTATGAACTAGTATTCCCTGTTAGACCTCCGTGTGATGTGGAAGGATGGCTTTAAACCAGACACTCACAGACTCAAACCAGGAGCATCCTCAACCGTCTACAGAAGGGAGGGAGATGTCAGATCTGCACAGTCAAGTTTGAGGGCTGACCGTCTGCTGTGAGACTATTGCTCTTGATGAGTAGCTTCATGTAAAGAGAAAAAAATACATTCTACAATCGACTAAGTCTACAACTGCTAGACGGAGTCTTTCAAAAGAATTTTAAAAGGAACATTAAAAAAAAAGCCCCTCAACCCCAATATTTGAAGGAAAGAGAATAAGTGTGAGTGAATCTAATGTTCAGAAAGAAAAACTGAAATTGTAAGATTCCATTTTAATCTACCAGCGTAGTGACCATGATTGTAACTCTCCCGTATTCATTCCTCCCGATGCGTACACAACGTCCACTGAGCGGAAAGGCTTCTCCACATGTGCATCGCGGAGCCCTCCCCCTGCGCCGGCCCTAAATCCCGGAGATGACTCTAGCAGCCCCCGTCCCCGTTTTCCCCGCAGTGAAGCAGGCATCCTGCGATCACTCAGATGAGTGAGGACTGTTGCTAGGATTCCTGAAATGGTCCTTTCACAAGCTCCACACAGCCCAGAGCAGAAACAGTTAACAACCATGCCTGTATGCTTTATGATTTAACATGAATGGAAAGCTAGGAAAATAACAAATAGCCAGATAAAAATCTTTTTTTTTTCAGATCATGCTTTTTCTAAAATGAATGTTGGTTGTCATGGTAGTCTAAAGTTAAAAAGAGACATATTTTCTAAATGTAGCAAGTATACCTTGAACTCACGTTCCAAACAAAGGTGGGACGCTTGCTCTGGGAGCCTTCCTTCCTTCCTAAGAACCGAAAATATCTGACCAGCTACACTGTGTTAGAGCCCTAGTAGATTCATAATCATAATCGTCATAATGGATAATAAGTAGCAGATCGAAGTGGGAAAGACTGAAGTCTAAGCAACTTCACTTTGCAGTTAGGTACTTCTTCTCCAATCACGAGAAAGAGAAAGTGCATTCCACCACGCCACCCCCCACCCCGCCTGTACATCCCTTAGCTACATCCCCTCCCTAGATTCAAGAAGTTCACAATTCTTTACGAAACACACACTTGCCAGGTACCGTATTTTTAAGAGTCTTGAAACAACATTGTTGAACTCAGTGATACTTTGTCATATTCATATATCTTTCTCTTTTTTTATTGAATAAAGCAGCTTTGAAGCTTATCAGGCACTGCCCAACAAAACATTTAGTCCAAAAAAATCTGTTATGAACTTTTTAACCTTGGGCTAACAGCCAAGTACTCTGTACAAGAAAAACTGTAAAATATTTCATAGTTTTAATTCTGAAGCCTTTTTTTTAAACTGGCATCCTGTACATTTCTTCTTAAAAAAAAAAGTAAAAATAACAAAATGAATATTAACACAAAAACCAGGGTCAACAGTATTTTCAAGCAACAAAAAGTGGGGTAGGGGAAGCTTATTCTGAAGAACGTACATTGAAAATTGAGAGAACGACGTAATGAAAATTAAGAATTGCATAGCACTGTGAATTTAGCCTTCAGCGAAACAAAACAAAAGCTATTTGGTATTGATACAAATCCATCTATTTGATAGTCATCATTATGTACATATTTTATATACTGAAAGTGTCATTTTAAGTCCTCTTTTCTAAGTTCCATTTTTTCCGTTGGTGGGTTTTGTTTTTTGTTGAAAAGTTTAAACAAAACGCCTTCTGGCACTTTGCTACCACGGAATTTCCTCTGAACAGACGTGAGCCGGCGTTCTCCCGAAGTGTCCCTTGTGAGCCAAAGGGCCCTTCCGCTACACACCGTTCGTCTGCTGGGAACCGAAATACTCCGTAAGTGCCTGGGTCCACCGCACACAGCAACCCCAGGCCAGACCAGCTGGGGCCCAGCGCTCCCGGGCCAGGGCTCCCCAGCCCCATCCACTCTCTGGTGTACAAGGTCCCAACTTCGAGCTGGTAAAGCTTCATAAAGCATTAACGAGCACCATGGGTAAAGGCCTCTTTGTCCCTGCACGCAGAGATTTTTGCATTTCTTTTTCTCTTTGTGTTGTGTGTTGTGGTGGCTTTAAATTAACCCAAAATTTTTTTTTAAAAAGGAAAGGAAGGAAGGATAAGCACTCCAGATGAGAAGCGTCTGGTCATCACACAGTGCTAGGCTGCACGTCTTCCCCTACTGCTTTTGTCGAAGGCTCCAGTCCCATTTGGAGACAGACGGCTTGGGGTTTCCGCAGCTCAATTCGCAGGGCAGGCTGGAGAGGAGCCCTGTGCTTTCCAGAGGCCTCAGGGTGGCTGAACTTCAGGAGGAGGGTCGCAGGGCCCGCGCCTCATCGCCTCTGCTGTGCATACACTGGGTAGGCTAGTGTGACGTTGAGGGAGTCGTTGTGCTGCACCAGGGAGGTGTGCTGGTAATGGAGCACCAGTTCCTTCAGGGAGCCGTACAGGTTGTAGGGCTCGGCAAAGCCATAGCCAGTCGCCGTTTTGTTGATGACGCAGTGCTTCACCTCGCCGTCCACCCTGGGGAGGAGAGAGAGCAAATGCATTTGGACCTTGACAAACTGGGACACCGCAGGCGTTTCTAGCAAAAGCATCCTCATCCAACAGTGCACTTGACGCAGGCCAGTCCCCGGAGTAGTGCCAGGTCAACTGTTAGACACCTCTGTCCCTTACTGGCTGGGGGACTTGGGTAGGGAACCCAGTCTCACTGAGCTGCTGTATTTTTTACCTTTAAAAATGGCTGAAAAGGAAGATGATAGTAATGTATGTGTCACAGGGCAGCTTTGAGAAATGAGATGATGTGCTTGATGGAATGCAGTAAGCACGTAGCAAGTGGCAGCTGCCAAGTGTCAGCATCAGCGCCGCCCTGTGACCAGAGTCCTAGTGCTACTGGTGATTAACACGATCCCTTCGCTAAGGCTGGCCTCAGAACGTCTGCGTGCCTCTCCACCTGGGCATTTCCTCTCTAGTCCCTGGCCCTCCCCCCAAGTCTCTCCACCTGGGCATTTCCTCTCTAGTCCCTGGCCCTCCCTCCAAGTTCTTACTCCTCCTTTCCTATAGGGCTGTTTCTCTGCTTCCAGGGGGGGAGTCCTGGAGCATAATGCGCTTTTAAGAGCCTTGCCCTCTTCGCGGGCCGCTTGCCCCTGTAGACTACTAGTAAACAACAAGAAAGTGTGCCCTAGGACAAAAATGTCTTCTCTTGGGTGTAACTGTCTCAAGGACAGTGACCGGCGTTCTTTTGCTTGTTGTTCTCCCCGGTTCCTGATGGGGACTTGTCCCCGGAGGTGGTGCTCTTACGCGAGTTCCCTCAGGTTCTAACTCTGCTTGCCTTGGGAGGCAAAACTAAAGAGCCAGCACTGCCATTCCCGTTTTAAAGATGGAAAAAAAAGACTTAAAAGCAGTTGCAGCTACAAAGCAGGTTTCTTCCGACTAGACTCCCTTAACAGACAGAGTTTAAGGTATTAGGCCTGTTCCGTTCCCCCTTCCACACTGTTGGACATAAGGAACTTTCCCAATCCTTGCCCCCTCGGCTGGCTGCACAAACGCCTCTGCAGGGGCTGCTAACGGGACCAGCAGTTTCTGCTGGAGATACGTACACCACGGAGCAGGCGTAGCAGCCCTGTTTGCTGCTTTCCCGGACGAGAAAAGTGCCGTCGCGCTTCCCTCGCAGCAGGTTCTCAGCTTTGTTTCGGTTGCTGCTGCCCACATTCCACGTCTTCTCGTCGTGGTGCGGCAAATCCTCGTCGTCCTCCACCAGCGAATATTGGCTGAGGGGCAGGAGAGCGGGCTGCTAAGTGAAGCGCATGGGAACCACCGGCCTGCCCCACGGGCCCTCCCATCCCTTCAACCTTGTTCCTGCCCCTCCTGCAAGCACAGACCAGCCGACCCAACCAGACTCTCGGGCCTGAGTTTTGCTCTCATCCAGCTGCACCTTCCAGGTAACCTCTCTTCTCTGCACAGAGTCAGCAGCAGTAAGTCAGCAACTAAGCTCAGATACCTGGGAAGGTATTAAATAATCCTGTTTGTCCAGTTTGGATCAGGAAACTGATAGAGGAGGAGGCTTGCCAGTGTTCAAATAATTCAAACAAAACACGGGCTTAAGCTTCAAACATATACTAAGCCCGTGTCCTTTTTTTTATCATTATTGTTCCAAACATAAGTTAGGACTTTTTAGCTATTCAGGGACATCCTTATGGGAAAAGCATAAATCTCTATCTGCCCTCCTTAAACTTTCGCTTTAAAAAATTCTGGATAATGAGACTGTGTTTACACATTTCCTCCTACAAGATGTTCTTCAGATAAAGCAAGCCGTGCGTTTTCCTAAAATGAAGACAATCCCGTGCCGCCTCCCGTCCGGGGTAAGGACTTACTCCTCAGTGTTCTCATTGCCCAGCCACTCGTTCAGCTTCTTCTGCCGCACACCTTTCTGAGTCAGCCACCTGAAAAAGAGTTTCGGAAGGAAAAGGCACTCAGAATGTGTCCTCAATTCTCGCCGTTCCCAAGCACACCCTGACAGGGCTCTGTCCCTGACAACGTACATCAAATATTGGTCTCTGGTTTTTCTCAGCTGGATGAGGTCTGGTTTGATGCTGTTCATGCGTTTGTCAATCTCCCGATACTCAGCTGCCTGCTTCTTCAAGTCTTCCTCCAGCCGTCTTCTGCTGTCCACAATTTCACTGATTCGAGACTTTAACTTTTCATAATTATGCATAATCCTACAGGCAAGACAAATGCATCTGTAACTGCCAAAGGTCATCAGGAAGGTTTCCCTCAGGTAAAGAATGCGTCTGCTCCCCGCTGCTTTTTTAATCATGCAGAGCCACAAAAGCGAGATCACGTTTAAGCAGTTTTAGAAGATGCTGGTGATCTCTAGCACAAGGACAAAGGGAATACTCCTGGTTGACCAACCTTTGTATTTCCTTCTCATTGCCTTCACGTTTAAACTTTTCTATGTACTCTTTGCTGTAGCGCTCCTGGGTTTGGCACTGTTCTTCAAATATTTTTATGGTTTCATTAAATGCTTCAATAGCTGTTCTTTTCATTTGGATTTCCTGCAACACAATTTTAGTAAGACCATGTCACACCTTTGGTAGAACAGGTAATTTCTTATTGCGAGACACTCCCAGGACATGTGCTCTGTATCATTATCTAGAATGTAAGTACTTTGTTAGCAAGGTGGGACTCTAATTCATAAAACCCACTAAAATACTGCCACACAATAAGCACACATTTCCTTTGGGAATTAGTCTAGTCTACAGAAGATGACTGCCTGACAATTTCCCAAGTTTTCATCTTTGTTAAAGCCGTCCCACTTTATCAGCAGTTCACGGCATCCACGTGGCCTTCTGCTCCCCCTGCCGGTCCCAGATGGGCCCAGAGAAGATTACATCTCCAGGAAAACAAAAACAGTGAGTGCTGCCCTGGTTTTTCATGGCAGAGTACATAATGGTTAGATGTCTGTTTCTGAGATCAGACAATACTATGGCACTTCCAATTATTATTAGCTCCCAATCTAAAGAGTATTGTTCAACCAAGAATGATCTCAAATCAACCTAAAACTCAGCACCCTCTTCATTTATTTTGGGAATTTAATTTATTATTTCGATAGTTACAGGCTTCATTTACAAGGTTTTAAGACACCATGAATAACTTACTACAATAATCAACAATGATTCACAAACAAATGATCTCTTCCCCTACTTTATTTACAAAAACTCTCCCTTTTTTACTCTTTTTTGGAGGTTGACTATAATATGTGTTATGTTTGAATAACTAAGACTTCTAAAGTTTTAACCTGATTTTCACAGAAAACTCACCTGGGAAGTACGGGTATAATCCTCATATAATCTATCATATTCCCGACTTTTTTCTTGAAATTGAGTGTTATATTCATGTAATTTTTTTCCTACAGCTTCAATATTATCTTCTTTGACAACTTGATCCTGGAAGGATTAGAGAGTATAAGAAAAACAAATTCAGCTGATAAGGCATTTAATCAATTAAGAACTGTTTAACAAGATATCTAACATGGAAAAATCCTTGAAGTATTGTATTCAGCTACTCCAAAGTAATTCTGTGATTACAAGTACAAAGCTTTTCAAATTTCATTACATGTAATTCATCTGCTTCAAAATGTTTCTAAGCATTGACAGTATCTTATTTAAATAACATAACAACATGAGTGTTTGCTTACCTGTTGGTACTTGGACACTGGATAAAGTAATTTCACATCCAGCTTGGGATTGTACTGAGCTAGAGATTCATTCCTGTAGTGGTTTATTAATTCAACCACAGAGTTGAAGGTTAATGGGTCAGAGAAGCCATATTTCCCGTCTCGGTGAAATATTTTGATTAATTTGTTATTTCCTCCTTTCCTGCAAATACAACACAAACACAATGGCATTTGAATTTTCTTTACAGAACATGCTTGGATGTCAGCCTGAGCCGCCCCAATGTCACCTGCACTCCTTGGCTCACCTTAGTGTCAGAGTGTAATCACCGTGCATCTTAGTAGACGCGTCTCGTACCAAAAAGGTCCCGTCGGCTGTGTCTCGAAGTTTTTCATTCACTTCTTCCCTGAGGTGAAGAGAACACGAGACAATGCTCACCTTGAGGGTGTAGTGACTCTAGGCACGTTTTTTCATTGACTTAATTTTTAGAGCAATTTTAGGTTCACAGCAAAACTGACCAGAAAGTACAGAGGAAGTCTCTATATTCCCTGCCCCCACAGATTTACATTTATTATTTTCAAAGCTTAACAATTTATTCTCTGTTTATATAAAAAATGTTACAAACTCCATTTCATTTATAAACAAGTACATGGGAGTTTTGTTTTTGTTTTTAAAAACCCACTTTCACTACTGGTACAACTGTGGTACAAAGGTTTAATTTATTTTTTAAGCAAACATGCTAAAAAATCAGCAAAGCCAGCCATGACCCCAAAGAGGTTTCCTCCCCCTCCACCTTTTAAAAAGCTAAGAATAAAAATGCCCCTTTATTTCGTCATGTGTAGGATAACAACAATGTTAATTCTTAGAGTTTCGTCTGCTATGCAGTGGGTTTCCCCACTGCTTCTAGGCAGCCTCAGTCCATCCTGGTGCTTCTCTGAGGACTTGGCGATGACTGGACTTCCCGGGTATTTACAATGATTTCTTGTGGCACCCAGCACCTCCAGTTCCCCAGTGGCTCGGGGACTTGTCTGCCCGCCTTTGGAAGCGAACCAACTATGCTTCATGCTTATGTTGGATGACATCCTAAAAATGCCATTTAGCAAGCTGGTGCTTTTCTTCCCCTTAATGTAACCCGCTCTGTCTCTGGTGAAAACTACGTGTCTCTGTAGGCTTACCTAGAGATGTCTCCCCAGTACCATTCCGCATCTTGTAAGGACATATTGTTATTCATACCGTTGTTGGCTACAGTAGTGGGTTTTGGTGGTTTAGGAGGCAGTGCTGTAGATTAAGGAGAAAGAAAAAGTTGTTTGCAACCCCAAACTAAAATTAAACATTTTAAAGTAGACCTAAATTGCTTTAGATAAAAGAAGAATAATTGAAATACAGTCATCATTCAGCATTCCATGAAACATGATAAATTTCTTCAAAAAAAAATAAGTCAGACACCTTTCACAGTATGGCTCAAAGAGGAAAGAAACTGAAAGAAAAAAAAAAGCACAGTTTGGAGACTAACACATAAATTGAGCTGGCCACGTGAGTGCATTTCAGTGTAAATCGGGAGTCATGCCCTTTGCCACTTCCAGGTTCCAGTTACATCGAAGTCTCACGTCTGGTCAAGTCCACCTAACACACAACACCACCAGCAGACGAGCAGGAGAAACCGCCCGGTTGGCTTTCATTTCCTCCTCTTATTCAACCGTAACAGACAAACTCGGTCTCTGCCCTCCACAAATGCTCTTGTGGTAAGAAGCTCATCCACAGCAATATGTCTTAGGAGGAGAATTAAGTTTCTCTGGTCTTAGTATTTCAGGCACTGTGCTGCCAAAAGCCACTTTAAGAAACTCATCTGTGACCTAAACCTCTTTGGTGTTCCTGTTAATATTCGACTGCACAAACTGCTCTATATGCCGACTGATTAAAAACCATACTCCTCTTCCTCAATGTCGAATCAGGGTTCAGATACCAACTGGTGACAAACGAAAGGCTACAGTATCCCTGAAATTTTCTTAATTGGGAGGAGGGCTAGCAGAGGGGTGAAATAATGTAGAAAGCAAAATAAGTCTAGGATTTTTAACTAAATTCTAAGTCATACGTTTTAAAGCACAGTTACTATTTTAATTTATGTAAGAATCACTTTAGGAATCTATCAAGAATATTTTATGAAGACTAGGACTAAGGAATGGAGAGCCAACTTCTTTTCTCATTACAGTATCTTAACATAAGAGAGAGCAGGCAAAGCCTCACCATTTGACTGAGAACAGTTTCAGGTCACCTAGAAACCGAGTTGCAATCGCTGCTACATTTTACAGGCTTTCTAAAGTACCACAGGCTAGCCCTGCAAAAGTACACCACTGTTCCCATCCACTGTCAACAGAGAAGAGCAGCACAAAGGAGGCATAATTTTAATTAAAGGAACGCTACACAACAATATAACCCGGAGAGCAAAAAATCTTAACAAAAGACACCAGTGAAAACTGGCATTCCATTCATACCCATCCAAGTAAGAATAAGCATTTACCACATTCAGCCTGACCTGCTTGCTTCCACAGGCAGTCAGCTGGTTTAATTTCCAAGCTATGATCAAACTAATTTTTATTAAATTAGAACAAGTTAATAAAATAGAAATCTAGAGAGGCTCTGTTACAGTAGCTGTCAGAAACAAAATAAAATGCCACAAAAATTAACTAGCTTTCCACAAGAATACTGCAGTATTACCTGGTGGATCCATTTCTATATAAAACATCAAGTCTGTGCCACAATTTATATCTGTCTTAGCATATTCTAAGTCCAGGTCTTCCATAGTCCAGACAGTGTTGTACATTTGTGCGAGAGTTTCCTTGGCTGAGCTCAGTTATAAGAAAAGAGTCCGGCTTTCTTTGTAATGGTGTCTTGGAATTCATTTTAAAACCTATAAGGGGCTGCACTGTAACCTATTACATCACACACCCCAGCCAATCAAGTCGGAAAAATGTCACCAGACCACTCCTGCTTCATCGTTTCTCTTCTGTACCAGCCTGAGCACAAACCCAGCCTCACCGGGAAGCTACATTTAATAGAACTGCAATGTATACATGCTCATCGTTTCAAAAAGGTGTTTAATTTGCCTGTTCTCCTCCAGCAGGGAGCTTCCTAATTCCCTTTTTATTGCCCTGTGCAGCTCGGTCCGCTCCGCCGTTGGCAGGCTGACAAAAGCTGATACGCTGCAGCACGTAGCTGTTCTCCCCCCCAGTGCATCTGGGTGTTCAGATAGCCCGATCCTGCCTTGGTTTAAAAATCTTACAGACGCATCAAAACGGCACATTTCGGGCATATTTCACAATCCTGAAATACCTCCCCTATATATTACAAGCAGAAAGGACTCTGGGTATTTCAGTGCTACAGAATTCACTGAAAACTCAGAACTTAAACACTGTCACAAACGTGCCACATTGGAAAGCACAATGAAAAGGAAGCACAGAGGCGAAATCTCCTCCTCCACCGAACGTGGCAAAGTCAGAACCAGACTGGACGAACTAACATGGAAAATTCTTAACGGGAATGAAGGGGTCTGTTGGCAGATAGAATCAACATAACTGTCAACATTATTAATGAGAACCTGAATGCTACTGTCTAATAAAAGGCTGGTCAAGGTAAGTTGTGCCTTCCAAATGGAAAGAGGCCACATGTACCAGAATGCAGAGTTATCATGGCCAAGTGTTTCTCACCGCTGAGCCCACCCTTGGACTTACTGTGCTAATACTGCTCAAGGCAGGAGTGATGTCATCATTTGGGGGGGGGGGCTTTTATCCCCTCTATCTCAAATGCCTCCCACTGACAACAAATATTACTATTCCTCCTTGGCAATACTTAACGTAAAGAAATCAATGCCCCTATAAACCTAGTTATTAATCTTTGTCCTTTAAAGCTCTTCTGCACATGATTAATCCTGCTGCTCCTACTGGAGCCTACTGTGCATTCATTCCCCGTGTGAGCCGGTCCCTCTTCACAGTTGGATGAGAGGGGAGGAAGAGGAGAAAAGCCGCCCCCCATGTAAACGTGGCTGACTTAAAAAACTGAAGTGGGCTTTGTGATCTACATCCATATTTGTGTGATTATTTAAAGAGCACAGAAGCCCTAAACATTTACTCTTAGACTTTCTATCCGATTTGGAATCATAAAACATGTAAAATAGCAGAGCAAGGCAGGCCCGTTCTCTGAGCACCGGCCGCTGCAATCCCCTCTCCAGTCTAATTCATCCTCCCACTGACCAGCAATGCTGACTTAGCCTATGCCATCCCACCCTCTCCCACTTGCTTTTCTATTTGCTTAAGGGTTTAAGTAAACCTAAACCCAAATTTAAATAAAAATGGGAAAAGTGCTGGTGGGGGGTGCCTTTAGATGAGATTCAGAAAAAAATCTCTCTCCTTAATAAAAATATCGATGCCCCTCCTCCCCCCAAAGGAAGGGAGACAAGCTTTTGGGCTGGGGTGGAGCGTCCCACAGGGGGACACCCCACGCCCCTGGGAGCACTTGGTGCAAACAAGTCCTGCTCCTGGAGCCCATGTGGCACAGCCACCGGGGGAGGAGGGCAGGGAGACAGGTGATTTTCCACGTCGCTCCCAGGCCTGGCCTGGGACCAACTTCCAGCAAAGCACTTTGTAATGACCTCCTTCCCCATTTCCAACCTAACCCCCATCTTTTCCTTACACGGTGCCCCTTCAGGAAAGGGGAATATCTCCCCTAATCTGCCCCCCCCAGGGAGTGCTTACAATCCCCCACCCCCGCCTCACACACACACACAGGCACACGCACACAAGAACCTTTCACAGGAGTGCAAAAAAAAAAAACCCTAGTGCAACAGCGAAAGAGCAGAGAAGTGCACAAATTAAAAGCAACTTACTTTGCAGGTTATGCATTTCAACGGTTTCTCTTTGAATGCTTGTATCCGACAATGAAAAAAAAATCCAAGAAGCTATTCTTCCAGCAACCGGGAGCAGCCCCCACGTCTCCCCCCCTCGGCTCCGGCAGGCGGTGCTCGCGCCCCCGAGAACGCGCAGGACCCCCGGGACGGACAGGACAAGCGCAGAGCCCAAGCAGCGCCCTCAGCACTGCAGCTGCGCCCTCACCGCCGGCTCCCCGCGGAGAAAGCCGCTGGATGTGGGTACAGTACTGGGGAGGGAAGAGGCCCAGGAGCTTGCACGGCTCTCTTAGATAAAGATCGCGGCTTCATGATTAACTTGGGCAGGTTCAAATATTTGCTGAGCTAGGGATTTCGGGGAGGGGAGGGGAGCCCAAGTCAAAGTCAAAGTTGTCATCTGCTAACAAGTGGCCAATGCCAGCCCAACTCGCTCATTTTCGCGGAGGAAATGAGAAGGCCATTGTGCGGGGACCCAAAATAGTCTAACTGGCTGTGGCAGCGCGCTCGCTGGCTCGCGGGGCTCAAGTGGCCACAGTGAAGCGAGGCACTATGCGCAGCCAAACACAGGAAGTGGCTGAGCTAGTTCAGCAAAAAATAGAATCAAAGCCTTGCTTGTAAAGGCCTGAACCTCTTGGAATGGCCCAGAACACCATGCCTTGCTCCAGTCCGCCTCCTCCCACACACTAACACAGGCAGCCCGCAGGTGTAACTGGAAAGCCCTATGCAGCAACTGGGCAGGGAACAGGTTTAAAAAATATTTAATAGTCCTAGGGAAGATTATTCCAACTCTGCATGGATACTGTACTCCACCATCATGTGAACACTGAAAAGAAAAAAACCCTCTGCAGCTATTTTTGTGAAGTCAGTTTCAACTCAGGCTTAAACAGCCATAGGACTTTGTAAAAAATTAAAGGGGGCTCTGCCTTCTTCCGTCCACGTGACGGCCACATGGAGCACAGGATGGGAGGGCAGCAGCGCGCCACATGGACCAGCTTTCCGGAGGACTTTCGTCCTCCATTTGAGAAAGGTGCAGTGAACCAGACTTAGTGGGCTACTATGGAAATAATTAAAATTCCACCGGAGAAATTTTCACTTGCAGCAGCTTTACTATTATTCCAAGAACCAAAACCCAATGTAAAATCACAGAACCACTACCTTTAAAACCAGAGAGCAACTCGGAGACGACCTCAAGCCATTCCCTGACACTGCAGAGGCCCACAGTACCGACCCTGAGGGGTACGGTGGGAGTTGGCAAAGGATTTGCACTAGGACCAGGACCCAGCCTCTGACGTTTGGTCCTTAACTCCCTCTTCTCCCCGCACTAGCCCTGCTCTTCACTTCCCTCCGCCAGAGAAAGTACAAATTAACAAGTGAAACCGAA